AAGGCAGGGTATATCAATGGGGAGGTAAAAGAACCTAGATCAGTAGGGCTCTTAGACAATGAATTCATCTCAAGATTGCCCCCCCCCCCCAGTTCTGATCTCAAGGAGGATATTATTAACTCCTTCCGTGACCATTTGGAGCAATACAGCAAGGCTCTTAGACATGCAGATACTAGGTCTACTCCTTCAACTTCTTTGCATCCTCCTCAAGTAACTTCACCTCTGCCTTCCATGTAGCCTCTAAGACTTCGGAATTCCCATGGATTATTGATTCCAGTGCCTCAAACCATATGACTGGTAAGTCAACCCATTTCCATTCATATACCCTCCTCTCAGGCAGAGATAAAGTGAGGTTAGCAGGTGGATCATTCTCCTCCATTGCTGGTCGGGGATCTATATCTTTACCCTTTGGTTTTCCACTATCAAATGTCTTGCATGTTCCAAGATTACCTATTAATTTGTTGTCTGTTAGTAGTATTGCACATGCTTTGAATTGTTTAGTAATTGTTCTCCCACATTCTTGTGTTTTTCAGGATTTGGCCTCCAGGAAGACGATTGGTAGGGCGAACATGGTTGACGGCCTCTATATGATAGAGAACAAAGTTGGTCTTGTGGTTTCAGAGTCCTTGAGTCAATCAAGTAAGAATCAAGTCATGTTGTGGCACCACCATTTGAGCCATATGTCTTTTGAGTCTTTAATGCATTTATTTCTAGAATTGCTTAAGTCTGTGCCAGTTAGTGATTTTTAGTGTTAAGTGTGCCAATTGAGTAAGCATTGTAGAACTTCGTTTCCTTTACAAAATAAAAAATTATATCTTCCTTTTTATCTTGTATTCTAATGTGTGGGGCCCTATTAATATTCCAACTGAGAATGGCTATAAGTACTTCAGTTCATTTATTGATGATTTTTCTCAGTACACTTGGGTTTATCCTATGCACTCTCAAGAAGAAGTTCCTAAACCGGTGAAAGACTTTCAATGCATGACCTATACTCATTTTCAAACTGAGATCTGTGTTTTCCAATCAGACAATGCGAAAGAATATTTCCATGGTGATCTAACTAACTTTTTTGCTTCCTGTGGCTCTCTTCACTGGAGCACCTATGCCAAAACCCCTCAACAAAATGGGGTTGCAGAACAGAAAATTTTCCACCTCCTAGAAGTTGCCCAAGGATTACTCTTACAAATGAATGCCCCGAAAATATTTTGGATGTATGTTGTTCTGACCTCAACCTATGTTATTAACTGTATGCCATCTCGGTTATTGGAATATAGGACTCCACATGAGCTCCTTTTCCCTAAGGCCCCTCTGTTTCCCATACACGTGTGTCTTTGGTTGCAAGTGCTTTGTTCATGATCTCTCCCACCCGAGGTAAGCTTGATCCTAAAGCTATTGTCTATAATTTCCTTGGTTATCCCCTGTCTTAGAAGTGTTACCACTATTTTCATCCTATTTCCAAAAAATATTTTGTGTCTATGGATGTCTTGTTCTTAAAGAATGCTCCCCATTTCTATGTTTCTCCTTGGGGGGAGAGTAAGGCCAAGGAGAAACAAACACAAGCTCTATTACCTCCTCTTCCCGATCCTCCTCCATTCTGTGTCTTCCGTAGACAGCGTTATAAAAGCCAAGGTCAACAAAGTTCAATAGTTATGGAGCAACCTGAAGCTGTGTGACCAATGCCATTGGACTCTCAGGGGTTAGATCCCTCACCCAGATACCCCTGAACCTATTGATATTGATACTTCAAATTATGATATGAATCTTCCCATTGCAAAGAGGAAAGGTGTTAGATCATGTGCCACACACCACCCTATGGCTCATTTTTTGTCCTATGAGAATATTTCACCCTCTTACCATGCTCTCCTTCCAGCCATTGATAGTGTTCCCCTTCCTCTAAGAGTGTTGCAAAGGCTTTATCAATTCCTGAATGGACATATGCTATGAAGGACATTAATGCCTTTCATAAGAATGACACAGGGGAATTGGTAAATCTTCCTAAAGGAAAGGAACCTATGGGATGCAAATGGGTGTTTGTAGTAAAACACAAGGCAAATGTCATAGTTGAGAGATACAAGACTGACCTGGTTGCAAAAGGCTTTACGTGTACGAGGTTGATTATGCAGAAATCTTTGCTCCTATAGCAAAGATGAACTCTATTCAGGTCCTTCTCTCTCTAGCAGCAAGTTTGGATTGGGAACTCCACCAATTAGACATTAAAAATGCCTTTTTGAATGGTGATTCAAAGGAGGAAGTGTACATGAACCAACCCCCCGGTTCTACGCAAAAGGTAGTGACAAGAAAGTTTGCAAATTGAAGAAGTCTCTGTATGGGTTGGAACAATCTCCTCGGGCCTGGTTTAGAAGATTCCACCATGCAGTTCAACAGATGGGTTTTGGACGATGACAAACTAACCACAAACTCTTTGTAAAGAAGGAACAAGGGAAAATAACGGCTTTAATAGTCTATGTGGATGATATTGTTATTACTAGTGATTGGGTCTCAGAGATACAGAGGTTGAAGAAATTCTTAGTCACACAGTTTGAGGTAAAGGATTTGGGACCATTACGTTACTTCCTTGGAATTGAGGCTGCTTGCTCTCAACAGGTTATCTTCATCTCCCAAAGGAAATAATGAAATATACTCTTGACCTTCTAAAGGATACAGGGAAACTAGGTGAAAAACCAAATGAATAGGGGTGGGTTTGAGCTGAGCCAAGCCAAACCGAATACTTGGCTATTCAAGCTCAACTTGCTGAAATAGTGTTAGGCTCGAGCTCGAGCTCAACTTGATTCAAAAGCTCGCAAGTTCAAGCTCGACTACAAGCCAATCTTTTTCAAAAAAATAAAAATTATACATATAAAAGTACTTTTTTATTTTACATACAAAAAATAGGAATTATAAAAATTATTTACTATTATACATAAAAAATAAAAATATTATTAAATACATGATAAAAATTATATATATAACACTAGGCTCGATTAGGCTTGTAAGCCTCATGAGCCGAGCTTCACCGGGGTTGAGCTCGGCTCGATTAGCAAATGAGCCTATATATCAGGCTTGAGCTCAACTCGAAGCTCAATTTAAACCGAGCCGAGCTAAGCTCGAATAGCTCATGAGAAGCTTGACTCGTAGCCACCCCTACAAATGACACTCCTATTGATGTGAACCACAAACTAGGGGACTGCAGTGATGAGCCCATAAAGGTGCAAAACAGTACCAAAGGCTTGTTTGAAGACTCCTCTACTTATCTATGACTAGGCCTAACATTGCATATGTCATGGGAGTCCTTAGTCAATTCATGCATGCTCCTAAGGCTGCACACCTTGAGGTGGTAGACAGAGGTCTTAGATACTTGAAAAGAATCCCTAGGACTGACCTCTTCTTTAAGAAGAATGGACATATGAAAGTTGAAGTTTATACTGATGCTGATTGGGCAGGCTCGGTGGATGACAGGAAATCCACCATTGGCTATTGTAACTTTGTAGGTGGAAATCTTGTTACTTGGAGAAGTAAGAAACAGAGTATGGTGGCTAGATCTAGTGCAGAAGCAGAGTATAGGGCTATGGCTCATGGTGTTGCTGAACTCCTATGGATTAAAAATCTGCAAGGAGAATTGGGTTTTCCTCTTGATGGTCCTATGCCACTCTACTGTGATAACAAGGCTGCTATGAATATTGCAGCCAATCTAGTGATCCATGACAGAACCAAGCATATTGAGGTATATAAACACTTTATCAAGGAGAAACTGGAGAAAGGAGAAGTTTGCACTCCTTATGTCAGCACTGAAGAGCAACTTGCAGATGTTTTTACCAAAGGATTAATATGATCTTTGTGACAAGTTGGGGATGATTGATATCTACGCCCCAACTTGAGGGGGAGTGATGTAATATGTCAACTATGTATCACAAGGGTATTTTGGTCCATATTCTTTCTTTTATTCTATGTACAGTCACCCTAATATATAAATAGAATAGCTGGCGCTGCCAACAAGCTTTTTGGTCTCTCTCACAATTTTATCTCTTTTCTCTTCTTTTCTTCTTCCTTCAAAAATAAGGGTGTACCAATCCACTCCGATAATTAATTGGGACTATAAGAAAGACCCAGAACTGAACCAATTATTAATCGGGACAATCACGTCTGACCCAATTATACTTGGCATCTATAATTACCAATGATAATAATGACTTAGAACTTCATTTTGATAATATAACTTAATAAAACTGACAGTAAAATACTGAATTGTTTATATGTTGACAAAACAAGTTTTTTAATCATAATTATCTTATATACTGTTTATAAAATTTACCCTTTTAGACATAAAATATAACAAAATTACAAAGAAAAACATGTTTATAAATTATTAACTATATAATCAGCTCGGGTCCAAATCAGTTCGGAAGAGAAAGAACTGGTCCTGACCCAATTAGCAATCCGAACAAAACCACAAAACCAGAACCAACATGATCGGTTCAGTTCTATCGGATAGACCCAACCCATTGACAGCTCTAGCATTATCCCCTTTTTAATCTGAATTCTATATAATCCCCTTTTCCAATGACTATATTATTATAATAATAATAATAACACTGTTTTAAAACTTTGTGAGATATATCTCTTATAAAAAATCAAACTTATTAAACTTGCATATGTTATATAATTGGTTGTTTTCCTATATCGGTTTCTTTTTCTCCAATCATTCTGTCACTAGTTTTGCTTCTATTTTTCTATATTACAACTACATCTTTGCAGTTTTTGTTGCCTCCTCAGCATTCATCATCAATTTTGAATTGTTAATATGTGATGTCCATTTTAGCTGCAAAGAGTCAATTTATATTTCTAAACATTTAACAAAAGGAATAGCTTCTATTGATGAATTAGACTGCTATTGGACACCAAAGTTCTTTGTTTCACAATGCACTAGATATATAGCAAACAACAAGACAGCAATAGCAGTGAAGTGATGGTTCTTTTCTCTTTTTTCTTGGTAAGAAACTGACCATGGAACCTCCTGCGGCTGTGGAGTAAGCTGTACTCCCTGTAGGTGTGGCTACAATGACTCCATCGCCTTGCACCTAAAATACATGGATATAAATCAATTATAAGAGGAATAATATGTGTTAAATAACTTTTAACTTTATTAACCATATAAAAAACTACAATGGAGCTGCACAGAGAATATTCCATAAATCTTAACAAATAACAGATCCACCACTCTCACTTTTGTTATAAGGCGGTCATGCTCATAGCACTCAATCTTAGAAAGGTAGGGATTAGAACCACGGTCAACAACAACTTCATTCAGGACATCAAAAACCTTCCCAGGCACTGCTTTACCAGTGCGGAAAATTTCACAGTGAAGGCGCATTCTAAGTGTTATATATACTCCATCCAATGTGTTGTTCCCGTGTATAACTTGCCTTAAGTCCTTCATATAGTCTTCAAACTGTGGTGTAAAAGAGGTGTCAAGGAGAAAAGTGTAAGAAAGAGGTAAATTTCAGATTCTAAAGGTAGAGAAAAGAAACATACATTATGGGAAGTGAGAAATCCGAGAGATCCAAGATTAAAAGATACAATAGGAGGAACAGCTCCTCTGAATAAATTTGATGCATGGAGTATAACCCCATCTCCTCCCAAACAAGTCACAAAGTCAACTCTCTCATGCAGATCACTATATCAAGGTTAACCAAAAATGGTCAAGTAAAAGGGCTTCAAAAAAAAAATAGGTCAAGTAAAAGACTTACAAGAAGAAGGCACAATATCAAATCTTATTTTAAATGCCTTTTCCTTTTGATAGCATTATATTTCCATACCTGGTGTCTTGACTATGAAAGGTTTGAACAAATCCGAATCCTGGGATTCTTGCAAATATGTCATGCACATCAGGCTCCACAAGAACAGTCATTTTCTCTTCGTAATACAAAAAAGCTGCCACCTATAGAACGGAGGAGTAAGGTGAAATATTGGCTCCAGTGTTAAAAAGAAGAAACTCCTATAATGAATGTTTTCTGATATATAGGTTTAAAAACTTAAATGGTTATATCTGAACATATACATTTAATTTAATATACTTTCCCCAGATGGAGTGTCTTGTATAAGATTTTTTAGGTCACCCTCTATACATAATACAAATTACATTTACCTTTCAGAAAAAAACACCCTTCATTGGTAATAAACTTAAAATTCGTTTTAGCCTTGTAACAAAATAGGCAAAAAAATCATCAAGCTCCTAAACTAGACCACATTTGCTAGTTCATGGTACTCATAAAATACCATGGAAAAAGCACTAGGCTCGAGTGCTCTATCTTCCATTCCTTCTACACTTCTTTGAAGTCAATCATTCTTCTTCTTTTTATTCAAGATCTTAATACCATGACATACCACAAGTCCACAAGTAATGGCCTCCTTTTTTATTGAAGATACCACAAGTAGTGGCCTCCCTGATTTCTCCAAACATTTCAAATGGGTCTTATGAATCAACATGGACACTTCAATTTTTGGTCAAAATTTCACTCTGATGAATAGAGAGATCTGGATAATTTGATGAATAACTATTTAACATAACCTGATGAATAGAGATCTGGATAATTTCCTTGATATTCTTGATAACCATATGGATTTACTTGTACTGTTGTTATAATTTCATAATAATGGGAAAAGCATAATAAAGCTTTCAAACATTGAGGAAGTGTACGGTCAAATTCTACTATAAAAAATAAAGAATTGATTTTTATTACAAGACTTAAACTAGAAAGTCATCTAAAGCTGTAGGGTTCACTATTCAAATTTCACAAGTATGCTGAAGTTTCAGGGGATCTTCCATTATAGTTAGTTTAGGTATCTCTGTTTTCATATTTCACACGGCACCCTTTGAGGCTCGCCTCGCCTAATCGCCAAGAAGTTTTTTTACTTCCTACTATAAAATACTTCTCTATTCATTCTTTTTTGAGATTATGATTATAAAATAGACATTATTAAACTAAAAATAATCATTTTGTGTGTTTATATACTAATTTATTGTTATTGTTTCCTTATTTATTAGGGTTTAATCAACACAAACATTGCCAAATGCTGTATTGAATGCTCAAAGACTTCAAAACCTGAACCAGTAATTAAGGAAAGAACTTAAAATTTTATCTAGTCAGCACATTTTGTTCTTCCATATATTCTTCTTCACTACTACTTTTCTTATGAAAATCATGAATAATTATTAAGGAAATATGGTTATGGTACCTAGGGAACTATCCTAGGATCTATGTTTTCAACATAAAAAAATCCATGCCTAGGCGACGCCTAAGCGACTAGGCGACAAGGCACCCCCCCTGTCGCTTAGCATCGCCTTGGCACCTTGAAAACTATGCCTAAAGTGTCAACACTCTTGCCTAAATAGAGAGAAGAACAAGAATAATCTTAGAGGTGTCAAGAGTAAATAACTCCCACCTCAAAGAGTCTCTTATATATTAGAAGATATGTACAATTACAAGAATGCCCATATAGGGCTGAAAGAGAAAAGAAGAATAAGAAGTATAAGTAATGTACAACAAGGACTATACTAATATGATACATCAAGTTATAGAGTCTCCACACCCCCCACCTAAAATTGATGCCTAAACATAAGCATCAATTTGTCTATACGAAAGAGATGTCGAACTCTAGTCATAACTTTGGTGAAGGTATCAGCAATCTACATGTCCGAGGCTACATGAGAAAGCAATATAGACCCAATAGTGAAGAGATCTCAGATAAAGTGGCAGTCCACCTCGATGTGCTTGGTCCTACTAGTCGATCAAGACTACAATCAGTCTTGAATCCGAAAGTAAGAGAAAAGATTTCAGAAGGAGAAAAGAAGAAGAAAAGAGGGAGAAAAGCATAAGCACACGAAGGGTTTAGAAAAGGAGAGAGAGGGTCGAATAATTTGATCTGCCGACCCACTCTTAAAATTTATATGTTTACTAATTGTAAAAAGGCTGAATTGCCCTTATTGCTTACATGGCAAATAAACTAATAATAAAGCTGAAATAACAACAAAACTGAAATAACTACCAACTAACAAAGAATACATGTTGTGCTGCCATACGAACACAGTGGGGACCACAGCCGTGGGGTCCACATCAATGTTCTCTACACTCCCCCTCAAGTTGGGAATAGATATTTGTCATTCCCAACTTGCATAGGTCTGCCTCTAACTTCTTCCTTGAAACA